GCTGGGTTTGCAATCTGGGAACAGGATTTCCAAGATTCAGAGGCCAAATCTCTGGTCAGGTCATCTGTCCCGTGGCTTCTGCTCCCTACTTATATTCACAGAAGGACTCCCGGATCAGAACAGTAACCGCAGCCAAGCAGTCGACCAGACTGTTGCAATTTCTGCTCCTCCGGTACGAAATACAAAAGTTTGAGTCCAGTGGTTCCCTATCAGACCAACAAAGGCCCAGCTCACACGGGCCGGAAAATGCGGGGGGGGGAGCATGGCTGTTTGCCCCGGAGCAAACTAATGTGCGGCCGCCGGATTACACGTCCTGCCGACGTCCCGCGGTTCAGGGGGAGGTGCTGATCACACAACAATCCTGCGGCATGGCAAAGGAGCGGTGCAGCATGATCACAGCAGCTATGGCTAGGCGTGCTGCCGTGGAAAACGGGGTTGTGGGTTTTTTTAAGCTGAAGTGTGCGCATGCGCCGTTGGGTGCTTGTGCGCATTCCGTGGAGACTTGGGGGGAAAAACCTTTTTGCGATGGGACATGGGCAGGTGCCGGATGCCATGAACCACCACCGGAAACGTGATCAGACGCCCTCCCTTGCCCCACAGTTTCCGGAAACTAGTACCTCGGAGGTTGTTTACGCCGCATATTCGGCGGGAAGCCTTGGGTGAGCCACGGGAACTCTACACTTCCCAGATGTTGCGGTGTGATCGCACCTGGAAAATCTGCCTATCTTCCGTCTCTGTAGCGTGGCTAATGCTCTGTGTGGCCGCAGCCAAAGTTTAATTCTGATTATACCCAGAATTAAACTTCGTTGGTCCAAAAGGGGTCGCTAGACTCACACTTTGTTCTGCTGCGTCAGACCAACACGGCTACCCCACCTCTATCTAGCTTTGGTTTCAGTAGTCTGTGGGGCTTTCGGAGGTCAAGGGTGTGGCCACTGTTTGCAGTGGGGTTGGGGGGAGACTGGCACCAGGGAAGCAAGTGCCAGTGTGGTACAGTGGTTAGAGTGTCAGAATAGGCTACTGGAGACCCAGGTTCGAATCCTCACGCTGCCACAGAAACTTGCTGGGGGACCGTGGACCAGTCAGACACTCCCAGCCTAGCCTACCTTGCAGGGTCATTGTGAGGGTAAAATGGAAGGGAGGGGGAGGAGGTAAGCCACTTTGGGTCCCCATTACAGGTTAGCAACCTTTAGGTAGTATATGAAGAACCTCCTGCTATGACTGTTGATCTCCAGACGGCCAAGATCAGTTCCCATGGAGAAAATGGCTTTGGGAGATGGACTCCCTGGCATTGTACCCTCCTCAGGTCCTTCCACACCCTGAACCCTGCCCTCCCCAAGCTCCACTCCCAAGACAACCCTAGTCCCTTTGGCCACCCAATGAGAAGGGAGCACTCACTGGAGAAGACCCTGATGCTGGGAAAGATTGAAGGTCAAAGAAGACGGGGACGGCAAAGGATGAGATGGTTAGACAGTGTCATAGATGCAACAAACATGAAGTTGAGCAAACTTCAGAGGACAGCGGAATCTGGTCCATGGGGTCGCGAAGAGTCGGACTCGACTGTGCGACTGAACAACAACTAAACCCACTGCAACCAATAACAGCTTTAAAAATGCAGGCATATGAACCTGCCTTAAATTGACTCAGACCACTGCCTCAGCCAAGGCCGTCTACTCTGACTGGAAGTGGATCTTCTAGCAGAGGAAGGCATTCCCCATCATCTATTACCTGATATCTTTAATTGACGATGGCAAGGACTGAACCTGGAACTCTCTGAACACTGAGCTGCAGCTCCTGCCCTGCCATGGGGAACGTCCTTCGTCATAAAGTACTTTATTGGTTCACTTCAGTTGTGAGGCCCAGCCAATAAATGTTGGCCGTGCAAGCGAAACAGAACCTCCACGTTCCAAGGCACTGTCTCTCCCAGTGCTGGATTTGGCTTTTGGAAACTCTGCCAAGCAAACAGTGCACTGCAAAGTAAATACGGTGCCCTGACCTTCCAAGTTGGTACGAAAGCCAGAGGGTGCAATACGACCAGCTTTCCATAGGGAGATGGCTGCCCTGCAGAAATTCTTCCAGTGGTGACCAACTGTGTCTTGCGCAGCACTTGGAAGTCTGGAAATTACTTGAAGAGTCTCAAAGCCCAGAGTCCCCAGATGACTCTGGCCTTTTGGAAATATGCTCTTCAGCAGAAGAAAGTTCTTTGCTAGGGTGTCTTACCCTGACCTTGATGGTCCAGCCTCGTCTCAGAAGCTAAGCAGGGTCGGTCCTGGTATGTCTCTCCCAGTGCTGGATTTGGCTTCTGGAAACTCTGCCAAGCAAACAGTGCGCTGCAAAGTAAATACAGTGCCCTGCCCTTCCAAGTGGGTATGAAAACCAGAGGGTGCAATACGGCCAGCTTTCCACAGGGCGAGGGTTGCCCTGCAGAAGTTCCAGTGGTGACCAACTGTGTCTTGCGCAGCACTTGGAAGTCTGGAAATTACTTGAAGAGTCTCAAAGCCCAGAGTCCCCAGATGACTCTGGCCTTTTGGAAATACGCTCTTCAGCAGAAGAAAGTTCTTTGCTAGGGTGTCTTACCCTGACCTTGATGGTCCAGCCTCGTCTCAGAAGCTAAGCAGGGTCGGTCCTGGTTAGCCCTTGGATGGGAGACCGCCGGGGAGTCGCTACGCTACGCAGGAGCAGTCAGTGGCAAAGCACCTCTGTTCATCTCTTCCCCTGAAAACCCTACAAGATCACCGTAAGTCGGCTGCGACTCGACAGGACTTTCTGACATCTCCACTGTGTCTCAGGAAGTTAGAAGACCAAAGTACACTTGGGCACACATGCCGTTTTATTTTCGTTCTGAGCAAAGAGTTCTGAGTGCATGCCAAGAAGAGC